GTAACGACGTTTGTTTCGAAACTAACTAGGGTGAGAACTGGGTCTAGCGAGAAAGTTGATGATGCGAAAAGGACACCGTGCGTGGCTAGGTGTGCTAGGATAAATTGAAGACAAAGCTCACTACCACCACCATCACCCCAGCCAGTATCCTGGTGAAGATCATGGTGGAAAATTGCAAATGGCTTCAATTCCGCGATCCTGCGCACGCGATCCTTTGATGTCGCTGCAATTTGGACCGGTCTCTTGGGGTGTCTGGAATAAGAAGGTTGATGGATACTAGACTATTGATTTAGGATGCTGGCGAGATGAAAGATGTTTTGCTAGACGGACAAACAACGCGTACGAGACGGAGAAAAGGTGCGCGCGCACGAGATGAAGTTTCTCGGTGGTCTTGCATATAGCCGACTTGCTTGTGATCGTCAACATTCCGAACAACCAAGACCGGATCGTCAGTCGTCGGCCAGCGGGTGCTGTCTCCCCCGAAGTCCTCCCGTCTTGTCTCATCATACCGTACTCTTGATTGTACCGTACTCTTGATTGTACCGTTGGTCGTGTGACCGCGATCCCGCTCTTTACCAGAGACCCAATACTCAATCTGTTACATAGGGCTGGATATGGCTTTTGGATCCTGTTCATCATACCGCCTGTTCAGTCTTTTTCTGCTGATCGAAACCAATCAATCTGTCACATAAGGCTGCATGTTTGCGATCTTCAAAGATTGGCGATTGACGAAAGTTACGGAACGCTGATCGGCACCCTCGGATACTCTTTCCCGTTGTTGCTGATAGACAACCAGAGATAATCAGGAGGATGGTAAACAGATCAACGGTTGGGTCGACCGGCTTGGCCGCCTTAGGAGTTACTATGCGGGGCAGGTATAGGATTGTTGTAGATGATTACTTGAACGGGTGGGTGTGGGAAAGTGTAGATGGAGATGGACAGGAGGATGCGAACGATGATTATCGCAATCACGGTAGTCGATAATGACGCGGTCGGTGTTTTGGGTTTGCTTACTCATGCCTGCATCATTGCTGTTATTGGTGATATCGCATGGAGTAGACATGATTGATACGCACTACGAGGCTGATTTCGTTGGAGTTTGTGTAGTACGTACTCTCTCGGCAGGCTGTGATGTGCTGTAAGCTATCCTTCATGCATTGTTTTTGTTGCGCGTTGTCAATTAGACTCCGAAGCAGACCGACTACACAATCGGAAACATAAGCTGCTATCGTCCAATGAATTCTAGTAGTCTGTCTGGTGACGCAACGCTACCAAGTGAAGTGTTGTTCATGCATGCACGCGAACACGTTGTCAGGGTCCAGACTCAAAAGCCATCATAGTTTGAAAGATGAACATTCTTATTGTTACGGCACTTAGGGTAAAGTGCGTCACTGTGCGTGAGCGCTACTTTCTCAACTTGTCCTGCCTTTCTGCAGATCCACTAGACATTGCGTTTGCTCGAACCAAGATTAACACCCCAACAAAAGTCGAAAAAGGTATCTCCTCCACATCGCATGTCGCAACCAGAAAAAGATCCACCGCCTAAACAGGTAGGGGTTTCAGCGGAATAGAAGAACGAGAAAAAAAACATTGGTAAAAGTGAGAATGATCATGAGACATTGTGTGTTTCAAGACGGCCTCAGCCACGTATAGCAAAACATTGCCTGTCGAATAAATGCCCTCATCCCTTAAACTCATATGGACATGATGAATGATCCTCTCCCAAAATAAACTCGAAACTTAAAAGTTTGAGAATAGTAATAAAAAGGAATAACATATGGAAATGTGGTGGGTGCGTGTCTGGGTATAACCCTGCATGCCCCTTGCGAGGCTGCTTCTGCTGGCGCTTTTACAAAAACGTATCGAAGATCAATAATGCGCGAATACGAAGGGGTAATAAGTTGCAGTGTTCAAAACGACCTGCTGAGAAATCGAAGCGAAATGATTGAAGCGAGAGTGATGATGCGCCGTAGGATAGAAATAAGATCAAGTTGTCGCTGAATAGTAATTATCGAGTCAAAGCCGAAGCCGGGTATCATCATGAGTGAAACAGATCCCAAGCTCTTGCACACAGTCCAATGAATTCTTCCTTCTTTTTCAGTTGAGTTTCTGGTGAGTCACGGCCGGCGCCAAAGGGACCGAGGCGTGGTTGCTGGCGACCGAGCGGCGGGGTACCGTTGTCTTGTTCGTATTCGTCGCGGCCGCGTCTCCGAGAGCTGCCACTTCGGTGCAGATCAGGCCTGGATGCATATGCTGACGATCCATTCTTGGGCATTGGCGAGGGGGGTGTTGGGGGTTGGTGACCACCGTAATGGACCAGACGGGGCAGAAGATCCTCGCGACCCCCGGATAATTGTTGAACAGCCTCCTCGGCGGACTTGTATTCTCGGGGTCTTGATGTTGGGAGCGGCTGTGTAAATTGTGGGGGCGGGAAGCTCGGTGATGGCATTGGGGGCTGGACATTAGAATGCGATGAGTGTCCTGGGCTGTTCTGATGGTAGGGGTTCCGCGCTGTTCCAAGAGGCTCTGGGAAGACGTCTGAGATGGGGGGTAACCGGTTGTTGGTTTGCTGTGCCGGTACATGGTGGATGTGTGATGATTGCGACAGGTTTGACGGGCCGTTGGCCAGCTGTCGTGAGGGTGGTGCGTTGCCGCGCAGACCAGTAAAGGTTTGGTTGATGGGCGCTGACTGGATTACACGGTCGTTGGAGAAGGACGAATGTGAAGGAGGCGCAATGGAAAGACCGGGCGGTGGGCCCTTCCGGCGAGAGGTTTGAGGTGTCTTGATTGTCCGTCCAAAAGCACCAATCTCTGTGCCCCGTGTGTCTTCTGTCTCGGATGGTCCGCTCTTGCCGCCCTTCTGGCGCGCCTCGATGATCTGCCTTTGGCGTTCTCTTACATCCAAGCTTCTTTGCAGCTGCTCGCGCATACCGGGGTCCTGGGTGTGGAAGCCGGGTGAGAGGCAGGCCATGCCAACATCGTGGAGGCCTAGGTGGGCACTGCCTTGGCCCGAGGGTCGTGCCGTGAGGGCACCCGACGAGTGGACAATGTTGTGGTTGGCGAGGTTGAGGCGCTGGGGCCGATGCCTGGTGGTGGTGGGCATGTCTGGCGATGTGGGCTCCTTCTTGACTACGACTTTGGGGACAGGGCCACGAGACCTGCGAGAGGAGGGACGGTTAGACATGAGTGACATGATATCTCTGTGGGGAGGAGACATGGAGGTGCAGGTGGGAGAGGAGGCCGAAGGAGGACGGCATGATGAGGAAGAAGATCGGGAAGAAAGACTAAACGACGTACGAAAGAGGTGAGGGCTTTGTCTCGGCTCTGTGCTGTGCACCTGGGCTGGAGGAGGTAGGTGAAGCATCTTCTCTTGGTGGCAGCTTAGAGCGAGAGTTGGGCGTCACTTGGTGGGGAGAGAGAGTAGAGGGCGCAATGGGAGCATATGTCCTCGAGGAGCCTACTCCGTCTGCCGACGCCGGTGCCGCATGCTGGGCAGGGGCCGGGGGATTGGCGACAACGGTGGTCATGGTCGCGTGTGGGCGTCCGTGTTGTGCTCGGTGGGAGGGGCAGATAGATTGTAGGAGTGAAGTGTGGCAGGGTCTTGTAGGAAGTCCGCTACACCAAGTGTCGAGGGATGTGGGCAGGCCTGGGGGGGGTTAGAGGCTGGTGCAACACTAAGCCGGGGCCGAGTGCGGGCTGCGAGTTATGCGTGAGGATATGCACGCGGGCGGAGTGGTAGAAAAAATTAAATGCGACAAGAAGCAGCGCTGGCTGGCGTCGGAGAGAGACAGCACACGTCGTGTCTTTTGGGGCGCGGGTGTGGAGGGGATAAAAATGGCTCGCACAGACTTGTGTTTGCACAGGGCGGGCAGGGAATGGTCGAGCGATACAGCGGCTGGCATGCAGTAGACGACGTGCCTCCAGACGCCAGGCCGGGGGGCGGTTGACATGGGCGGCCCTATAGCGAGTGTCTGAGCCAGGCCCTCCATGCGTAGTGTGAGTTGGGGATGGCTAGGGCGAGCAGATGGTCGCGCCCTCTGCGGGAGCTCGCTGCACCAGACAGACGCCACTGGGCAACCCACTGTTTCGCATCCGCGGGCGGCCATCCATGGTGCGAGATGGATAAATCTCTGTGATGGTCTAATGCCCACCGTCGTTGCAGGACTCGCGCCTTCACCACCCGCTCACCACCTGTTCAGCTCGCGCACCACTTGCAAAGCTGACCTCACGACCTGATGCACCACGCCGCGCATACCAGCCTCACCATGACTGGCCGTCGTGTGCATGGCAAGGCGTTACAGGCCCATTGCCAATACTCGCTCTGCATCCAATCATACTCGAGCCAGCTCATGCCTGCCGGCCGGCCCTAGACGAGCCTTCGACTTGTTTCACGCCGGCGCATCAGCGGTTTGACCACGCTCAAAGCAGATGCCATCGACACAGAGCGGAAGAGGATTAATTGGCCAGGAACATCGTTCATGGCCTCGTGTTTCAGCAAGGCCAGCTCTCCAATAGCGCTAGTCGATGTTTGTTTCTCACAGTCCTCCCTAGTCGTGTCGGGCCAACCACCCTCAGTCATTCGCCTGCCCTTAGTCATTCGCACAGAGCCAGGGTCCTTTGTCGGCATCTTTCGCACGTGGCCGGCAACGTTCGCCCGGTCCTGGGATACTGCTCCTCTGCGACCTCCTTGCCTGTCACATGGCTCCCTCCTTGCCACATCACGCCTGCCTCATCAATCGTGTAGTGGAGGCTGCCCCTTCCTGCTTGACTCACCCAGTCACTCACTCAGTCACTCACCTCTAGCAAAGAGCCGCGGCTTAGCATCTCTTGAAACACACCATAGCCGACACCTCCGAGTCACATCTCGGAGTCACATCCTGCAAAGTATTCTCCGACCGTTGCGCAGAAACGACTCAATGCCGTGTATTCTCTAGACCCTGATACCATGGTAGATTCTGCAGCCATGGTTCCGCCGTTGCACCAATACCACCGCGACTGCCTCATACTATGAACCATATGCTTCGGCTAGTACCCCTCCGTCGCTTCTCCTCGGCGACCACCGCAATGTCTCCTGCAATGTCCATCATCTCTTTGTTCTGAGCCACATCAATGCCATCTACCACCATGTTTTGGTCGACTGCAGAGTCATCTTAACCACATGGAAAACCCTGAAGCTGGCTGCAGGGTATTGTGCACTCATTTCACCCTTGACACTCGACGACTCCTTCCCATTCTCTCGCTACTGCCCGTGTCTGCCGCCTCCGCTCAGCCGCCGGCCTTTTGCAATTCTTCCACATCCCCAGTCGTTATAGGGTCGATCAGGTACCGACTCGACACGCTCTCTAGGATAATCTCAGGCAGCCCATCCAAAAGCGGTAATCACACCATCGCTTCTCCAATATGGAACTGGTGGGGCTTAACATGCTGTTGCATCCAACCGAGCGACCGGGATAGGGCTGTCTCCCAACCACCATCCAATCAAGAAAAGGATCGCCCGTGAGTCTATTTCGGGAAGTGATCCCATCACCTCTAGCCGTGGTAGCACTCTAGCACGCGTGCCATTACCCTGCTGTTGGGAATGAGCAATTACTGCCATCTGTTGGGATAAGTCTCAAGTAGATGCTCTCTTGGCACGCTATTGAGTGTCGTTGAATCAAGATCGGGAATGAGTCCGACATTCCAAGTTCTCGCGCAGAGTGAGAAACTGGTGAGGAGATAAGGCGACAGTCAGTAGCAATACCTTCCGCGAATGACATGCGCAAGGATACTGTTGAGCGTCTTCCTTCACGGCCCGCACACAACGTGTACAGCCTGCAGCATGCGGCATAGAAACCAACCGCAGCACATCTATTCGCCCCTTCCTATACATCGCTAAGCTTACGCCTCCCGACTACATCCGTTCCCCAGATGCAGCGCTGTACAACAGCTACAGCTGTACAACCTACTCCTCTGGGACGATTGCGTCAATGCAGATCTGCCGTCCCACGTTTACCAGTTCACATTCAAGCACCCGCATCCAGCCGAGTGCGCTCGTTGCGGCGAGCATCTGACTGTTGTACCAATACTTTCCTTCGCGCTTCCGCAGTTGTACCGAAAGATGCGCAGCGCTATGCAGCTCGACGGTTTCGGATCGAACCGCAGAAGCACATGGTGCGTACGGTGTGGCTTAGTGGCTGGATAAGATGCGTGTTTGATCTGCGGCGTAGATCATGTTCTGTCATGTGCCTCCATACAAAAGCAATACGGGCGAGGCTTGCCAATGACTTGGGGGAGGATTCTCAGGGTCTGATGGCGTTTGTCTGACTCTTTGTTATGAAGCTAGATGTTTCATGCGTAGCAGATCCCGAAGGAACTATCATCATCATCGTCCTCCTCTTGATGCCATGCATGTACGCACGACACGACGCAACTTCGGAGATTTTGCTCTGAACGGTTTCAGTGCGACGGTAACGTAGCTGTGGTACCACCAACACCCAGTGCTACAGTTCGTCCGAATCGATCAAGTCTATAATCTATAGTACACGACAGATCGCTTGCAGGATCGCCCGCCGTCACGGCGTCGTGTCCTGCATGAGAATTTCGCTCACAACATAGATAGACACCATTGTGGAACGAGCATCGTCGGCGAGAAGAGAGCTTGAAAGTGAATAAACGGGAACACTCAAGTTTCGTCGTCCGAGAAGCCGACCCGAATACGTTGTTGCCGTTCGGCGGAGCGTTCAGCAGCTTGCGGCAACCGGGAGATCAGCGCGCAAGCGTTCTGTGATCTGAGCGGCTCAACATGTGCAATTACACCGTAATGGTCGCCATTGTCTATGGGTAGTACTTCTCTAGTTCACGCTACACCACTCCGCTCCATATCACCACATCCTTTGTCCAAGACTGTGTAGCATTGGCATCTCTTCCCCACCCAATGACAACCATGATTATGCGCTACTATTCGCTTCGCGAGAGACACTATCTTCGCATGTTGGCTGGTCCTTCTCTGTTGTAACATATACCTTTATCAAAACTGCATGCACTAATGCCCGTCATATAGAACTTCAGCGTTCGTCGACGATACGTGATGAAGAGAGTATATAACGAATGGACTACTGTGAGATATCAGGATAAGCTCGTATGGTCCACCTGTGGACGTGGCATCAATGTTTTTATGATGTGTTGGGATCGTACGCAGACCTTGGGGTATGTACAGTGCGATGAGTATGATTCTTAGTCTTATAGCGACTCGTAAGAAATCTGCAAACTAGAATGCTGGTCTGCTGTGTATTTAAAAATGACAATGCACGTACAACGTGACAATCTAGTAGTGTGAGGTCCCTCAAGCCTGAAGAAGCAGTCGATGTATCTTGAAGAGAATCAGAACAGCATCTGCTAAACCCCAAATGACGATGTAAGATAGCGTCGGAATATGAAGCGGGAATACCTTTTTGACCACAGAAGATCGTCATCTATCTTCGCGTTCCCTGCGGAATACCTCGAGATTTGAGGGTTGTATGAGCATTGCAACTAGTGGTATCACCAACAACGAAAAGAATAGACAGACCAGGAGAACCTCAAATGATCTAGATTGATGATTAGTACCACGAAGTTACGACTAGAATCCGACAAAGAAGAATTTTTGGTCTACATGTCACCACGCCTGTTTCGAGCTCTCGCCCTTCCCAGTTCCCCATAGCTCTCTTCTCGAGGAGCGGCGTAAAGTGTAACAGCCAAAGTCTTCATAAGTCTCCTGATAACTACGTATACCGTTGCACACGAGCATTCGAAGTGGACTGTGTGAGACGATACGTATGAGGTAGTCAACACCCAATTCTGATACGTGAGCTTTTCAATCACATATTCCACAGTGCATCTGACTTAGCAGTTTGCTCCACGGCGGCTAGGTCATGACAGGCAGTAGATGCATAGTTTATATCGATGGGCAATCATCGGCATGCTGACAAATCAGTCGACTTTTCATTTCCATGTCCCAACGTCCCTTTAACAATGATGGTGGCTGAGCCAGGCGAGCTGGAGCTGAAGCATAGCTTCCGGTGGTAGCAAGCATCTGGCACATTGGCTATGTGAAAAGAAGTCGTTGTTCGACCAGCAGATCGTCGAGATCGCATGCACTGTCGGCATAAAGACGATGTATTTTACACGTCACATCATCGACGACAACGGAAGTCTTGCCTTGTGCAAACGCCGTGGTGCTTTCTGTGCTCTTAATCTTGAGATTCATGTGATGAAGAAGAAAGTGGCGGGACCGCAGCAGTGACTGTGGTGCTGCGATTCTGCATCATCGAGCAAGATGTGCCAACTGTATAGGCCGAAGACGCTGACCAAGGCTTTGCAACAACTTGAGAGACACGGAGTTGAGTAACTCAAGCACGAGGCTCCACAAGTCAAGCAAAGAGGTAAGTCAGTAAAGGTGGTTGGGAGAGGATCCCTTCTTAACATCACGAATACGCGTCTAGACACCCTCCCTCAACACTGTGCATCAGAATGGATGTCAAGACGCGAAGATGTCAAGTCGCATTACCATGCACCCAGCTTTGTTGAAGCGCTTGGCATTGAAGCCGCTCTGGTACTTACAGTAGGGAGGGCGACGAGGCTGCGACAGGCGGCTTGAGTGGACAAGCATGTTGAACTATGCGAACATTGCGAGGCTGGGGAGTTAGACTATGCGTTGGCAGTTGCGGTGTGCTGTGAAATGGCAACTAGACGAGCAGTTTTGCGTTTTAGTGTTCACGATGTTGAAGTTGATAGGGGAGTGCCTGTTGGGGTGCAGGAAAAGCACGAGAACAAAGCACCGAGGCTGTCGCAGCGGTGAGGCTGGAGTATCGTGTGTCTGGCAAAAAGCAATACTACAGTTGCCCTGCGTTTTGAGACAATACTTCGTGACACGGGCGCATCCTGTCGTCGCTTAGCTGTGTATGGGGAATCTGGGAGTTATGGTCAGCGTCAGATTGCGCAGAACCATTCTACGGTGACAGACACAAGAAGATATGGAATGCAAGAGTTAGCTCGTACCAAAGACTCACAGAACTACGGTTCGTCAATCGATTGCCTACCACAGGCCACTGACAAGCCTGGCAGCACCATCCCCACAAGTCAACGTCACACTTACTCAATCCACCTCCCCTTGTGCATCCCGTCCGAATCCAACACGCGCCTCCAGCCCCCCCTTTCCCAACACAGCGCCTTCTACACACGCGTAATCCAAAAGCGAAATGACATGCAACGCCAATCCGATCCTAAAACCTGCATCGCTAGCTGGAAATTGCATTGTGTGGCATTTCAGGTGTTCTCGATCCCCCCAATGCCTGCCTAGCGGGTAAAACTAAGCGGGGGACGGGGCGGGAAAGAGGAACAGGGGTGCAGTTCAAGGAAAAGCGTGCCGCAGACGCTGCATCATAGGTCTCTCTTTTCGCATGGTGAAGGGAAAAAGTACCTACGTCATATGTCGAGCCAAGGAGGCTGGGAGCATGGCACCACCGTGCAGGTTTGGGAATGGTGGTCTTAAAAGTTGGCACTGCCACATGTCTGTCTTTGTCCTGCATCGGTCTTTCTACTTACTTGCATCTGCATTCATTCTACCATACTAATACTTTGTTGCGCGCACTGTCGACGTCGGACGTTGAAAGTTTATCGCATCACGCAATACCACCCGACGGGAACGGATAGTCGATCGCAACGGTCGCTGATCACCGAGAAGAACCACCGAAATCATGTCTGGTGCACAGGAAAAGCCGCTCAATGAGTACGTGATGACTTCCAATGCGCCGCGCATCGTCGTCCATGGTGATGAGATGACATTGGCGCATCATATTGTCGCATTCGCCATGGAAGGGGTTGGATCACATCACATCGCGCATCAACTAACACACCAACCACAGGCTCCTCTCCCGCTCAATGGTTGACATATACGTCGGCCCCGAAAACACGCACTGGATTCTCCACGAAAAGCTCCTCTGTCATCACTCGCCCTTTTTCCGCAAGATCTTCTACTCCAAATCAAACTCGTCATCACGCACACAATCCTTCGGCCTCCCCGAAGAAGAAGATGCGCCCTTCAAGACCTTCGTCGGCTGGCTCTACTCGTCCTCTCTCCCCGTCCCACGCGAGGAGGCCGACCTAGGCGTCTGCTTCGACCTGTACCTGATGGCTGAGAAGTTTGAGATCCCCGGCCTCGTCTCCGACGTCCTGCAAGTGGTTAGGGAATGGTACAAGTACAGCGACAGCTACCCCGGTCTGCGTCGCGTGCAATACATTTACGCAAACACCGAAGACGGAAGCCCAATGCGACATATGCTTGTGCACGCTGTCGCCCGCATGATGGTCGTTGAAAAGGGTATTCCAGCGCACTGGGACAAGGCACTCCGCAAGAACGGACAGCTTGCCGTCGACATTATCAAGGCAATCCAGGACTGGCGTCTCGAGGAGGAAGTTGTGCCCGATGCGCGTGAGGAGCCCGCCGAGGCCGAGGACCTTGTCGATGTGGAGCAGGAGACTGCCAAGTTGGATGAAGAGGCGGAGCAGGAGATTGATGACGACGTGAGGGCTGAGCATCTCGAGGAGACTGCCGACGATACCGATGATACGGTTGTTGAGAGCCCGACCAACGAGAACAAACGCCCAAAGTCGACACAGCAGAAGAGTGGGAAAGGTGCGGATGATCTCAAGACCAAGGACAATGGCCTTGTCAAGGACTTTTCAAAGTTCAGTCTAAAGGAAATGCCGAATGAGATGACTAATGGCGACTATGGCACTCTTCGCGCGTAAGCTGGGTCTCTTCGCGCTATATTACCTTTTTTAACCTTTTTTGGATTCAATTTGCATGGTTCATCGCGCGTGTAGGGTTAGGAAGGATATATCCGGCGTTGGGATCTTGGGGATTTGGACGTTTCATCTCTTGTTGGGTTTTCTATTCAAAAAGAGAAGATAATGTCTTAATACCTTTTTGTTTGTACGTTTTTAGTCTTTGTATTAAATCCGCAATTGAAACATGAATATTGCTCAGTATGTTTCTTGTGCTTAATACTAGCTGACTCTTAACTCATGCTGCATTCTGGATGTTTCTCCTTGGTCCAACATCTTTGTCTCATTTCCACGTTTTTTTACTTTTCCTTACGCGTTGTCTCCTGTTTTCTAGTGTCTTGTGTGTACATGTTAGTTGGTAATGTTGACAACACGTCTTGGTAGCCTTATCGTAACGAATCTAGCAAAACGACCAAAGGCCATACATAGGGAGCATGTGCATCATATAGAGAAGCGGTTTGGAACAGTGTGTGTTCTATTGCGAGTTGACTCTTCTAGGAAACTGCATAGCGATAACGATACAGCTGTTTAGCCACTGTGCCCTACGCTTATCATCATCACGGGTTGGATTTATAGTGTAGAAATGTTCAAAAGTATCGCCGTACATGCAGAGAGATAGCCAAGATCCTATCTACAAATGATTGGTAAGGTCGGGGATATCTGAGTCGAAACAACGCACTCTATTCTAGGCTCGCGTAGAAGAAGACATGTCCGATATTCAAACTAACTACTAGTCTTGTGCATGTCTTGGAGTATCTTCAATGAAGCTAGATTACATGTGCGTTCGCTGTATGTTTAGAAGGAACTCGCTTTCACTATTAGAAAATATATTATGAAGCAAAGCCGCTTTAGTGCTCATCCACTTCTCATCCCATGACAGTCTCTCCAGCCGGCCTCCTCACAAACAACGCCTTTGGCATAGCCCCATTCGAGCAAGTCTGCACCGCATTAACACAGATACCGCCTCCACCTCTGCAGCAAGTGTTGACAACACACAACTGGTTACTAGCACAGTCCTCGTTCACTTTACAAGTGGGACTGCTGCAAGAAGTGGTGCCAGGTACGCAGAGACCGCCGCCTCCACTGATGGCACCACAGATACAACCTGAACCGCAGTAGACGTACTTGGAACAAGATGACGGTGCACAAGTGGGATTTGTGCAGAATCCCTTCGCGCATGAACCACTGGCACAAACGTTGCCGCAGGCGCCGCAGTTGTTGGGGTCGCTCATGAGGTCAGGCGACGATGTTGCGGTCGCGACTACAGTAACTGTCGTAGTCGGCGTCGTAGTCTCCGTCGCAGCGATATCTTGAGTCGATGTGATTGTAACCGTTAGGGCAGTTTCAGTGAAGGTAGTGGTTGTGGACACGCTGACCTCCGTAGCAGTGCTGCTGACCACTTCGGTGATGGTGGAAGTTGCGAGAGAGAGACAAGAGCAGGCTGCGGAGATCTGTGCGCACTCGTATTGTTGGACACCTGAGGGAGCGGATGGGCAAAGTGTTGGGGCCGGGAGTGTAGGTTCCGGTGTTGAGGATGACTCGACAACGCTTGAAGATACAATCGCAGATGGTTCGGTAGTGACCGAAGATGAGGTGGACGACATTTCCACAGCACTTGAAGTCGTTGTAGATGAAACTTCTACGGCGCTTGAACTTGCTGTGAAAGACGACTCCACGAGACTCGAAACTGCTGTGGAAGAAACTTCCACAACGCTCGAAGATGTTGGGTACGCTGACTCCATCAGACTCGAATAATCAGACGAGGGCATCTGAGAAGTTGTCGGATATTCGGAGAAAGATGCTGGAATCGCGCTCAACGCTTCGGATGATGGGTATGCCGCCATGCTAGAGGGCTTCGCAAGCGATAAACTTGTAGTGCTTGAGCATTTTGTAGATGTGGAAGAAGGTGTCACAGTGCTTGTAGACTTCTTGCTTGCAGTACATGAGGTGCTACTGGAACTGAGCGTATGCGCATAGTCTCGTTTGACAGGGGCCTCGGCCGTGACTGTGACTATCACAGTTCCAACCTTTGGACGGCATAGATCGACTTGGGTAGTTCTGAAGTTATTAGCACATACTGATCTAGTATTGATGGAGAGTAACCTACATAGTGTCTGTCACTGTGACTGCGTCAGCAGTCAGGGTAGTAGTTCCAGTTACTGAAGTCTCGTCCGTGTTTGTGAAGGTCGCCAGCAGTGTGGTTGTCTCGAGAGTCTCCACGATTGAGGTCACAGTTAATGTGCTTATGGCGAGCGAAGTGACCGTCACGGTGGGAATGCTGAGTAGAGATGAACAGAATTCTGTGGCAGATGGTACGGCAAGCAGCCCGTCGACGACTGGTGAAATGAGCTCACACTCCGTGTCTTTGGGTTGATTGAATCCAGGGACTTCTTCCTGGGCTGAGCTGGTAACTGCCAGAGAAAGCAGGAGCGAAGCGATAGATGTACGCATGGCGATAGAGATTTCCGATTCTGGGCCGAATGTGGACTTGTTTGTACCACTGGTTTAACGAGAGACTTGGGTGATCACTCGACTAGATGGAAGTGCCAGTATATATACATATCCTCGAAGACATTCAGCTGCGAAACCATCTTGGTGGCGCTCAATATGGCTGAAGCCATACAAGGTCAGACGAGTCTACTCGGGGGTCCCGAAGGCAGTTTTACCCTCATCTCCACCGGCAGAGGGTCTTTAGTCACGACTGAAGCGGATTGACCCTGGATCCAAATCCCCGAAGGTATGAGCTTTCTGCGGAAGCGCTAAGCCGCGGGCATGCACTTGTCCCAAATAGGTCTCATCGTAAGAACGAGGCTGCATTGCTGAATATGTTAACCCAAGACAACTTAGCAGATCTGTAAAGGATAGGTGCGGCGCTTTGTAGCGTATCGAATGAACAATGCGTCACGCGGAAATAGTTTGGTGAGAAGTGTGATGTGTTCCTGGCTAGTGCAGATCTGGAGAAAGCTCGATCTAGACTTGCACCCCCCTGTCCGTGCTTGACTACGGACAAGGCGATAGTCGACGCCCCAACTTACGATAATTAGATGGTATGCATCAATTGCTCGGAGCACAGTCAAAGAGCATCGTCTAGGGGAAATCACAGAAGTAGATATAAAGACGACGCCCATCGAGTTTGTCGAAGATGTTGAATGGGTATCCTTAATTGAGAACGACTATGGTTACAAACGTTAGCAGTTTGCGTGGGTGTACTATTGGGCAGTGCGGCGCTCGTCGGGCATGTTCCTGCGCTCCTTGGCCGTGACCTTCTTGCGACGGCGTTCGATGACCTTGTCGCGCTGCTTCGACTTCATATTCTCGAAGCGGTTGACCAGTGCAATCTTCTTCTGCTCTGACTTCTTGAGGAAGAAAGGCTGCTTGCCCTCCTTGACAAGCTCCTTCTCCTTCTTCTTGTGCTCGCGCGCCACTTCTTGTAGCTTCTCCTTGTTCTCGCGCGCCTTCTGCTGCGACTCCATAGAAAGTAACTTCTTCTTCAACCGCTCCTTTTCGTCCTCGTTCTTCGTCTTCTTAATAGTTTGACGCAGTTCTGATATCTCAGATGTGCAGTAGTCGTTGAGGAAAGAGTAACGCTTTCCTGTCACGAACTCGTCGGGCGGAGGCCCTGAAGCATTATCGAATCGTGGGTCGCGGAACACAGGCTTCTTCACTTCAACCACATTTCGCTTACGTGAGACCATGCGCTTGCTTGACTGCACGGCAGGTGCGTGTTTGCTCGAGCGCGCATGTGGGGCTGCATCGGAGTCGGAGTCTTCATCGTCGCTGGCTTTTTGAGGTTTCTGTTTGTCTTGACCTTTGCTCTTGCTCTTGGCCGTCTTCGCTTTCTTGCTGGGTTGTGCGCCGGTCGCAAGCTTTTCGGCCTTGATCTGCCGTAACCTCTCGCGCAATGCCTCGAGCTTGTCCTCCTGTGATTTTGATGCGTCGTCGCCTCGTTTTCGCTTTCGATCCGCCGGTTGTTGTTTAGAGAGGGCGTCTTGTGCTTTGGCTAGTGCTCCAAACGAGACTTTGCTCATTTGCGCTTTTGCTTGGTCGTCGTCCGAGACGTCTGACTGCATATCGTCGTCTTCGGAACCGCTTGGCTGCTCGTCGTCTGAGCTGATTACGTTACCACCCTCATCTGCTTCAATGACCGACGCAGAGGATGAGCGGTCAGTGACCTCGTAGTAGCTCTCGGCATCTGAGCTGTCTTGGGCCGCGCGCAGAGTGCGGTCGAGTTTGTTTGAGAGCACCATTCTGGGGTGGTGGTGGCGGTGGTGTGTTGGGTCGTATGCGATTCCTGTCGCGCTCTTGGTGCGCCGCGGTCTACCAACATTTTTGTGGACCCCGCCTCCGGGGGTTTGATTCGCCGACAAGCCCGACAGCAGGCAACTGCGCCCAAATCTCGAGACAGCCTCACACCGTCTGGCTACATGCTTCGTGCGCTGCGTCTTCACCTCGCCAGACCCTTCACTCCTCACCCCTCTCTTATCGTCGAGCGTTTGCCGCCATCGCACGTGCTCCATGGCTGCAGTCGCATCAGCTCGGTACAGCATCCCCCACTGCGCTCCAGTCGCAACTTCTTCCACTAACACCGACTACCAAAAGACCAAGACAGGTCGAGACAGCACAATCTCCGAGCGCAAGCTCACTGCATCCGAAAGCCCCAGCATGAGCGAATTCTTCAACCCGAATGCGCTGCCCTTCCGCCCGGGCGGCTTCGACCGTCGCGAGCAGAATTTCGGCACCTTCGAGAACCAACAACTTCCACCTCCCCCGCCTCCTCCCTTCCAGCCGCCACCACCAGGAGGGCCTCCAGCACCATACGGGCCACCCAATGGCTTCTTCAACCAGGAATTTGCGCCGCCTCCCCCACCGCCCCCGCCGCCCCAGCAGCTCCCGCACATGTTCAATAACCAGCAGGCGCAGGCTGAGTTCGCAGGCTATCAACAAGCGCTGGCATACCACCACT